TGTGAACTTTCTTAGGTATTGCAAATACATCTTGATAAGAGCAATGATTACATGAATATATCAGTTGGTTAAAATTGTACAATTAATGTGTGTGTGTATATATATATATATATGTCTATGCCTGTACTTTTTACCCAAAAAAAGTATTTGGAAAACTCCCATTGTCCAGCAGGTGGCACGATGTTTAAGGTGCTGGTTTCTCACATGGCCAATTGTGGTTCAAGTCTTGGATCTGGTGGCTTAAAAATTACCCTAGGGAAGGGGCACTGGACTCCCACGTGACTGACCATAGTTTAAGTCCCAAACTTAGTGGCTTGAAACCCATGCTGGGTGCCTGCATGTGCATGCCCAAAATCCCAAGAGGGAAATGGAGGAGAAGGGATTGTGATGTGAACATCCCTGAGGGAGGTGATTTCTCGCTTTCAGTCTCTCCAGAGAGTGCACACACCCCACAATAAACAGCTCTTAAAAAAAAAAAAAAAAAAAAAGGTAGGAAGGAAGAGGGGGCAGCAGGTGACATGGTGATTAAGGCACTGGGTTTCCATGTGATCAACCGTGGTTCAAGTCCTTAACCCAGTAGCTTGAAACAAGCTGGGCACACGTGCATGCATGCCCAAAATCCTGAGAGGAAAATGGAGAAGTGATTGTGGCATGGCCAGCCCCCCTGGGGAATAATTTCTTGCTTACTGTCTCTCTGTCTTTCCAGAGAGCACATGTGCCCTATAGGAAAAAGCTCTCTAAAAATAAATAAATAAATCCCAGGTGTGTGTGTGTGTGTACATGCATGCTCAAAATTCCAAGAGGTAAAGGAATCGCCACGTGCCCATCCCATGGAGGGTGATTTCTCACTTTCCGTCTCTCTGTCTGCCCCTCTCCTGTGAACACATGCACCCTATGGCAAATATATACATATATATATATATATATAAAAGAAATATGGGAAGAGGGGTGTGGGTAAAGGAGTACTGGAAGAATTTTGATCACTGTTAAAGCTAGGTGACACATACAGGCTTTCATTACACCACTGTTTACTTTCTCCATTATTTGACATTTTCAAAAATAAAGAGTGTAAAAACATGTATCACTGAAACATACAATCAAAAATTTTCATATCATTAACATATACTTCTCAAGAAGCTTTCTGTGTATGCAAAAAGCATTTCTAAAGATCCATGGAGATCCCCTGTGTCTTGCTTCACATGGAGAATTTTAAATAGAGCTCATTATTTTTTCCAACTTCCCTCACCACCCACCCCCCTCCCCAGCATGCCTGCCATCTAATGGGCCGTCAGAGTGAATATGATATGGTTGTCTCAGCTACCGCCAGACCTCAAATTAATTCTTCTCTGGCCCCTCAAATATTTATTTCAAGCAAATTCTGGTGCAGATGGAGGAATCAGAGCTGCTGCATACATTGGAGAAAACTGACTTGATAAATCCCAACCCCAGTCTATTTTCACTGCTCTCTGAAAACAATGTTTTCCTATGTTACTGAGAACATGGAAGTGTACTTTTAAAAATCCTCTTATTTTAAAAAATCTCATACAATTTTTAAAAATTATCAGCAATACAAAGAGACATGCATTTTCAGAATAATAAAACTCAGAGACTACTAATTGAGGTCAGGGGTTGATTTATCCACTATGGACTACTAATAAGGCTCATTCACATGCCAGTCACTGAATATATCTTATTAGTTTTCAAAATTTTACCTGAGAAAATAATTTCTTATGGTTTTTCATATGATATATCAGAAGAGTCAGAAACACCATACAAAGACAAAGAATGAACTCAGGCTCAACCACAGCTAGTTAAAGGTAGAATATGTTAATGCCATCCTAAATCAGCAGATTATAAGTACACTTGGATAAAGAATCTTGAACCTAATCGTTTTCTACAGTCATTATAAGATAAACACTGAAACTAGCTAAAATTAAAGGTTCAAAAATTATCTACTGTATAATCTCTACTTAAAAATCTTTCTACGTGATACTTATTTTCCTATATCGCTGTTAAATTCCCATGAAGAATTTCAAAAGATGTTAGATAGAAAATACTCAGGAAGTGAAAGTGATCCTTGATGCTAGCATATCCATTCATCCATCCATCAGCTGAGGCCGAGTGGTCACATGTGCCAGGTGCTCTTTCATGTCCACAATGTAACAGTGAACAAAACAAGGTCCATGCCCTCGGAGAGCTTATATTCTAGTAAAAGGAGACAGGCTTACAAGAAAAACTGGGGCCAGTAAGCACTGTGGAGGGGAATAAATCAGGACAAGGGTAAAAGGGCATGCATATTTTTATTTCATATACCTGGTCAAAAAAGACCTGTCAGTTTTAGGAAACCTAAGCAAACATGAAGGCTGGTGCACAAATGACCCTCTTTAATGTTTTGAAAAAGATCACTAGTTGTGTAAGAAAAGAAAGCGGGAGTGGGGGGAACAAAAGTTGAACAGGGGGCCAATGGGCGGTGGAATGGTGGAATGTTGAACCCTCATGTGGCTGACTGCAACTGGAGTCGCAGACCAGCAGCTTGAAACTCACGCTGGGAGCATGTGTGTGTGTGCTCAAAATTCTAAGAGTGGAGAAGGGATTGTAGTGTAACCATTCCCGTGTGTGTGTGTGTGTGTGTGTGTGTGTGGTGAGGGGGGGTGATTTCTTGCTTTTTGTCTTTTTGTCTCTTTCTGTCTCTCCAGCATGCAGCTGTGCCCTACAGCAAAAATCTCTCAAAAAACTAAACCTGAAGTAAATAATAGTAATAATAATAAAAACGTTACAACAGGAAGACCAGATCACAATGCACCCATAGGAATAGTGTAACTCATTTGTTTAAAGGCTGTATTTTGATATATGACTCTATATTCCAATAATTCAAACACCAGAAAACTATTACTCTCATTTGGTACCGGCTTGAGGGTTAGAGTTCTGAAAAGCAAGAGTCATGTTTCAGGCTCCAGTTTGGTCTATTGGATAGTGTTTCTTTCATTTCAATCTAATAGGTAAATAAGACAAAAGTGCTAGATTCCAAATCTTTTTTTTTTTCAAAATATTTCTTCACAAATATCAAAAACAACCATTTTCATTTATATGGTAGATACAAAAGGTTTTATATTATTGTTGTCATAATATACATAGCATGTGTATATTAGCCAAAACCCAATGAATTACTATTCTTTTTTTTTTTTTTTTTTGAGAGGTTTTTCTCTATAGGGCACGTGCGCTCGCCAGACAGACAGAGAGAGAGACATAGAGACAGAAAGTGAGAAATCACCCCCCAGGGGGGATGGTCACACCGCAATCCCTTCTCCTCCATTCTCCTCTCGAGATCTTGGGCATGCACACACACGCGCCCGGCGTGAGTTTTAAGCCACCGGGTCTGGGATGTGAACCCCGGTCAACTACGTGGGAGTCCAGCGACATAGCCATTGTACTAACTGCTGGTTCCCTGAATTACTATTCTTGAAAGATAAATCAGGAGAAAGATCATTGCAAGTAGAACACTCAACAACACTGACCCAAAATTCTGTTTCACAGTTAATTTATGAAATCTCTCGTGTAAAGAAGATCGGTTACTCTCCTATCTCCCATTTCCTTAAGTTTAGTGAATGGCGTGTCTAACAGCAACTCCCCCAAACCATGTTGCCATCACTGCCCAGTTGTGAAAAGCTGGGCAGGAAAATCACCACACACTGCATACCTTTCAGGACTTTGAGCCACACATGATTGTTATTAATTGGTTTAAGAGGGTTTCAGAAACACATGCTTTCCTGCACACTTTGGTGGTTTCATCCTACACTCAGAGCACTCTGATAAATTAAATCATCCTGGCTGCGTCATGAATCGCAGCTGGCATGCCTGAGTACTGTCCTTTGATGATGAGCAAGCAATACAAAATAAGATGCCGATCTCACTCTTCAGAATTTGATTTTCAGCATCTTGTATGATGTTACAAGGCAGGATTTTAAGGTAAATACAAATGTTTTAATATAATTTGCTTTTGTTTTACAAAACCTAAGTCCACTTACCAGAAAATAAATGCTTTATTTCTTTCCAAAGAACAGGCAACATCCCTAACTAGGAAGGGGAATAGGGTGGGAAGTGGTTATTTAAATGGATAATCCAGCTTTTTGTTTCCTGGTGAAGCTTTAATGGGGGCTGAAGTGGGGAGGAAAGGCTGGGGCACTGTGAGAACCACATACACTCCAGCTGTATTCTTCATCCTCACGAATAGTGTCAAGACTCTGCCTCATTTAAGTTCTACTAACAAGTAAGGAGATTGCTGTATTAACATCATTCGACTCTCTTTCTGTCCTCCTCTCTTTTTCTCTTTCCTTCAATTACAAACTTCTATTTCCTTTTGTTTTCCTTTTATTTTATTCTATTGAAGGCATTCTTTACAAACTGCCTTAAGCCTTTCCTGGAATTAGGAGAAATAGAAATAAATAATAAATCAAGAATTTTTTCCTCCTGGTCTAAATTTAAATATTGCAAGGGGCGGGGAGAATGGTGAAAAGGGGTGTGTGGGTGTCTATGGCAAGATCTCCCGGTCTCTAGGAGAGAAAAGGATAGCGAACCCAAAATGCTAAAGGGATATGAGAATGTGTGCGTCCCCGGGCACGCAGGCGTGTGTGTGTGTGTGTGTGTGTGTGTGTGTGCATGTGCAGTCATTCCCAGGGGAGGAGGAAGAATTCAGGAAGACGGGAGAGAGAAAAATATGTATCGATCAATCAACCGAAGCAGACATCCCCGCGCCCCCCGATCCCTCTCCAACCTACTGCAGCGCTCTGGGCTCGCTAGACAGTTCATCACCCAAAGCACAGCTTCCCGACACCAGACCAAGGGACCAAATGCCGCGCAGCTTGAGGAGGTCGGGAGCGATGGGGATGGGTAGGGACAGGCTAAGGCAAGCGATCTGCGCAGGGAAGGGGCGACCACGCGAGCGAGGCCAGCTGAGATCTCCGGCCGAGATGGAAAGGCAAGGCCAGACTGCCGGGACCTACCTGGAACCACCACGGTGGAGGATGCTCCAGGCACTTCTGGCCTGTCCTCCTCAGCCTCCTCTCGCTGCTTTTGCTGCTGCTGCTGTTGGATGAGGCTGAGGTCGGAG